AGCTTTGTTTTATATAAAATGGGTCGACAATAAGGAAAATAAATTAATTAAAAAAAAGATAATTTAAAGGTACGACTAATTTTTGTTTTAACAAAAGTGTTAAATATAGTCTTTCTATATTTAATATATTATGTACATATTATTATATTGTGTATATTCTAGTTACCATACATGCCTAGGTTTCCTTGTATTGTATTTTCCTAATATACCTAGGATTCTCTTAGTATATATTCCCTTGTAATATCACATTGTAAACCATTGGAAATAACAAATCTTTCATGGTATCGGAGCATTAAAAATTCTCGGCTCCCTTCTCAAACCTTCGGCCCTCTCTCTGCCGTCTCTCCCTTCGGCTCTCCCTCTCTCAGCCGTGATTTCTTCCCGGCACCACCATGGCCGAGGTTTCGTCTATCTCCTCTGACAATACATCTCCCCCCAAAACCCCCATCTTGCTTTCACCATTGTCTCCAACATCAAATTACACATCCCCATTCAACTCAGCATCCGAACCAAAAGTGGAGTAAACTTTTTCGTCTACTTGCTCTTCGCTTCAATCTCATGGGATTTCTCGACGGCACCACTATTGCCGCCTCCTCCGACGACGTTGAATGGCTCCAGTTCGATGCCCTCCTTCAAGGGTGGATTCTCTCCACTATCACTGACGAGGTTTCAGATCTTGTTCTCGCCAACAGCCCCTCCGCTCATTCTCTCTGGACAGCGATCTACAAATTATTTCATGACAACAAACATGCTCGGGCGATGCAATTGGAGCATCGTTTTCGCACAACCGTCAAGGGAAACCGGACGATCAATGAATATTGTCATCTCCTCAAAAATCTTGCCGACTATCTCGATGATGTGGATGCTCCGGTGACCGAACATGCCTTGGTTTTACAGGTTCTTCAGGGGTTGCCGCAAGACATACAAGGCCAGGTCACTTTTCTTCAGTATCAGACTCCTTTTCCGACTTTTTTGGAGGTCCGTTCGGCCCTATTGCTCGTCGAACAACAACAAACCGACGCCACCCATGGCACCGGCTCATCGACGGCACTCCTCAGCACTGGCAGTGGCGGCGGGTCTCTAGCAGCGGGCGGTCAGCAGCGGCAGGCAGGGGTCCTGGGCGCGGCTATGGTAGTCAATCTCGACCCTTCAACAGTGGAAACCGCGGACGGGGACGTGGCCGTGGTCGTGGCGGCTCGAATCAGCGACAACCCATTGGTCCGCAACCCTGGCAGTTCCCTAACCCTACACCCGGCCTACTCGGCCCACGCCCCTACCCCACCTATCCACCCTACCCGGCCCAGGCCAACATGGCCCAAACCCCCAACCCATACCCGTACTACCCCCCTGCCCAAACTCCCCAATACTACCCAGCCCCCTACCCGAATTCCCCTACCCATAACCCAAACCCTTATT